GTTCAATCTCCTTTGATGTTCAATTGAGTTGCTTACTCCTTCCTCTAAATGTATTTTATGCATACAAAACGATGGGTTGATTCCCTTGATGTCTGTTATTGTCCATCCAATAGCTTTCTTGTAACTTGATAACACCTGTAATAACAATTTTTCATGCTCGTTAGATAATGATGAAGATATAATAACCGGTAAAGTTTCATTTTCTCCTAATATGCATATTTTAAGTGATTAGGTAGAGGTTTTTGCTCCAGTTGTGGAGGCTCAATGATCGAAGGCTACATTGTCCTGGTTCCTTCATTGGTCAATGTTCTCGTCCCAGGTTTCTCTATTGGCCATGTTGAGGTAGCTATGTTTCGTACCTCCTCTGCTTCTTGTAACTATTGCTCCAAACCGCAATCATCAAATCATAATATTCTTCTATAGAAACAGGGTTAGCTGTATTGATGGCCGAGCATTCTTCTACTTCATCTGGTAGCCGCGTGGCATCCAGAACATTGAATGTTACTTGCTCGTCATTGACTTTCATTGTAATCTCACCTTTCCTTATGTTGAATATTGTATCTCCCGTTGCGAGAAATGGTCGCCCAAGTATTATTGGCACTTCCAAGTCTGCTTAACAATCTAAAATAATGAAATCTGCAGGAAAAATGAACTTGTCAACTTTTACTAGGACATCCTCTATTTTTTCCTCTAGTTTTCTAATGGACCTATCCGCAAATTGGAGGGTTACAGTTGTTGGGCGAGCTTTTCCTATGTTAAGTTTCCTAAAAATGGATAAGGGCATTAAATTTATACTCGCTCCGAGGTCGCATAGTGCTCTCCCTAAGTTTTTGCCTCCTATTGAACATGGGATAGTGAAACTTCCAGGATCTTTACATTTAACCAATAGTGGATTCCCTAAGGCATCACTACTACATTTAGTTAACGCCACTGTTTCGTGTTCTCCTATAGATAATATCTTTCAGAAATTTAGTATAATTAGGCATTTGTTCAAGAGCATCAACTAGAGGGACATTAATATGTAGTTGTTTCAAGATATCGAAAAATTTCCGAAAATTACTATCTTGAGTTTTCTTTATTAAACGTGAGGGAAAAGGAGGAGGTGGTCTAGCAGTACTTACCTGCGGAGCAACCGGTACAATTACCTCTGGTTCTACTATTTTGTCAGGTACGGCCTGTGTGTCTTCCTCTCTCGAAGGGCTAGGGGAAGATTCATCTGGCATTCGAGGTCCTTCATATGTTAGTCCACTCCTTGTTGCAATGGAGTTGCAATGCTCTTTTCCTATTCTTCTTGGCTCTTCTGTACTGCTCGGTAATGAACCCTAGGGTCTTGTCCTTACCTCATTCGCAAGTTGTCCCAATTGCATCTCTAAATTTCTTACCGTAACGTCATTTCTGCCCATGTAATCCTTCACATCCTTCATGTCCTTCATGGTATCCTTTATGTCCTTCATGGTAGCATCAGTCCTAGTCATTAATTCCTTCATTGTGCATCGTTCTTGGTTATGAATTCCTTCATTAAAATCTCCATGTTACTCAAGTTTTGTTGTACCGGCTGCACATAATTTTTCTGTTGGTTGTATTGATGTGGAGTTGGTGGAAAAGCCGGTGAATTTGGAAATCCAGGTGGGGTATAAGCTTGCTTGTACTGTTGATTCTGTCCCGTATCACTGGAACTTCCTTGTCCACTCCATGAGAAATTAGGATGCTGCTTCCATCCCGGATCGTATGTGTTCGAATAAGGATTGAATTTTTGTTGATTCATTTGACCTACATAATACATAGAAGAAGGGTTAGAAGGGCAATTTTCAGATGGATGTTGATCTCCACAATAATAACAAGTAGATTCAGCTATTTGGTAAACAGGAGAAGGATTGGTTGTTGCTGGGGCTGATGCGGCAGCCGCATTGTTCTTTTCCATGTTCTTCAACATTTGAGTGATGGTGTCAATTTGTTTTTGCATAGACGTCATATTATCTAAGGCTAGCACGCCTGCTGGATCTGCTCGTTTTGATTGGGTCCTTGATCTCTCAGAGTACCATTGATCATTGTGTTCAGATAGCTGGTCCAGAATCTCCACTATCTCGTTGAAAGATTTTGATGTAAATTTCCCATTTGCGGCCCCATTAAGCATCATCTTAGTCGGTATATCGCAACCTCTAAAGAAATGTTCAATTTGTACGCACGCTGGGATTCCAATATTTGGACAATTCCTTATTAGATCTTTGAAATGTTCCCAAGCAACATTTACCGCCTCATTCTCCTTTTGTCTGAATGAGATAATCTCTTCCCTAACATCTGCATTCCTTGTCGGTGGGAAGTACTTAACAAGAAATTTATCCACCATATCGCTCCATGTGGTAATGGTGCCTGACGGGAAGGCGTTCAGCCATGCTGTTGCTTGGCCTGAAAGAGAAAAAGGGAATAATGTGAGTCTTAATGCATCATCAGAGATTCCAGGTAATCTACAAGTGTTAGCAACCTTAATAAAAGATTTAAGGTGAGAGCGTGGATCTTCATGTTCAAGCCCCCCAAACTGGCAAATAATGTTTAACATTTGAAGCATCATTGGCTTAAATTCAAATTGGGCATCTGCTGGAAGTGGATTCATAACGCTAGAGTTCAAGTCCTCTAATATTGTGGCTGCATAATCTCGCATTGCACGGTCTTTTTGGTCAGCCACGTGAATTGGGTTCGGCACTACATTTTCTGCCATTTTGTTGAAGTGCTCACGTTCTTTCTCTTTTTGGATTTTTGCTTGCTGTTTTTTCAGTCTCTATTCATGTCTTAACCTCTTGCAGGTTTTCTCGATCTCTGGATCGTAAGGTAACAAATATGAATTTGTGCTCATACACTGATACACACCTCCGAGGTTAGATAAGCAGATATTCTCATAACATAAACGATATAGTGATCACACACACAAACAATTCACAAAGAACAAAAATTATCATAAACAGAGTCCCCGGCAACGGTGCCAAAAACTTGTTGCGCCTCTCCTTAATAGCAAGAGGGATGAGTGCAAGTGCTCACTGTCGCAAGTAATAAGTTGGAAGTATTCAAAGTTCGTCTCCACAGGGACTAGTTTATTTTAAAAATATGTTCTGCGAACTACTCGAATGAGCAATCGGGTTTAGGATAAAAATAATTGATTGGTTGAAATGCACGTTTTATAATTTAATAAAATAGAATTTTGAAACCAACCCTCATACTACTGACTAGTTTGAAGAGAAATGAATTATGCCTATCAGAATCTCACACTAAATTTACTCTCTAATTGCAAACTGGTTCAACTCCTATTCCATACCACTTTTGGTTTGTTTAGAAGATTAGGCTAGTATTTAAAACATGTCTGTAAAATACTAGAAGAATCCTAAGTAATTAAAACTTCAACTTACGTTTAATGGGTAAGAGAGCCTATGTCTAGGATCTTGTTTAAGTTCTTATGTCTAAGTAACTTCCCATTTTATCGTGATGAACTCCGTTGACTCTAACCTTTTCAGAATTAAACTCAACTATTGAAATTTAAACAAGTGGCCAGCAAGTAAAATCAACTAGATTAATTAACTCAATCAAGATAAGCAATTTGAGCGTAAACGTTGTGCTATCTGATAGATGTAATTAAAATGATGGGAACTAAGTCATTCGTAAGAGGGTTGGAAAAGTAAATTAGCTACTCATAGAAACATGAAAAATAGAAATAATAAGAAGTGGATTGAAATAAAATGTCATATTAAGTTTAAGAAGTAATTACAATAGCTAAATTAAAATCGAGAACCAAAATATAAAGAAAATGATAACAACAAAAAGGAATTGCAATAAAAATAATTGTAGGAACGTTGACACAATTAAAGACAAAACAAATTATAAAAGTGTAAATTCTAGAGAGAAAACAAGCTGGAATTTAAATGTCAAGTGAGCTCCCCTTTGAAGCTTGATGGAACTTGGTATTTATAAGCTAAACCTTGCAAGTTGGTGGAGAAAATCTTGGGTATTTGAGTGGAGGAGCTACAATGGGGCTTAACAGCATTTGGTTGCACGGATCAAGGGATGGGTTGAGATTTCTTCCAACTGCCCGGTCAACAAAAGCCCTTATTTATGGGTGGAGAACGTGCCAGGCGCATTGCTGAAGTTTCTGGAGTGTTGGCGATGTGCCAGACGCATCACTGCTAGCTTTAAGATAGCCTCTGTGTCATCTGCAGCATGTGCATTGCTGCTTTTTCCTTTCTTTTTCCCTATAAAACATATATATTTCCTCCGAATTCCATCTATTTATCCAAAACCAAGTGTACAAGTCTTTCCTAAGAAATAATCTCATTTATACCGGATTCAATGCATGAAACATACGTATTTAATTTCAGAAGACACTAAACATGCACAATTTGTAAACGCTTTTTCCTAAAATTCAAGACTTATCACACGCTCAAGATCATGTCCTCACGATGCTCATCAAGGCAACCTTGTCTTAGATGACTCAATCATTAGTCGTCGGTTGCAAAAGCTCAAAGCAAGTCTAGGATTCTCTAGAGAAACGCTTCTCTTCTTCTACTCCGACTAGCATCATTGATCTCAAATCTGAGTTGCAAAGAATTTGAAAGAAAAGCATTGAAAGTAATGATGAATACATTCAGAGAATCAAGATTATTCAAGATAGACTTGCGGTTGTCTCTATTCTTCTTAAGGATGAGGATATACTGATTTATACTATAAGTGACCCTACCATCAGACTACAACGCCTTTCGAACATCTCTTCGCACTCGATCTACAACAGTTTAACTGGAAGTTCTCCATGTATTAATGAAAGCCGAAGAATCGACCATCTTGGCTTAAATCAAGCCACTAGATCCATTTACTCAACAAGTTGCTCTGCTTGCAAACTCTCACAATTTTTATCGAGGAAATTCAAATAATCATAGAGGAGGAGGAGGTCAATCCTTCAACCGAAATCGTGGTCAACATACTAATACCAAGTCTACTACGGGTCGTAGCATTAATGGTAAAACTCTTATGAACTCTTCTTCAACCATAACAGGTCAATTTATAAATTCTATGTTCTCTGGAAATTCCTCTGGAACTGGTTATTGTTCTATTCATAAAGTTGTATGTCAGATCTGTCAAAATTTTGGCCATAATGTTCTTGATTGCTATAATCGGATGAACTATTTGTTTCAATGTCGTCATCCTCCATCACAATTAGCTGCTATGGTTGCTGAAACTAACTCTGGTTGGCTATCTGATAGTGGTTGTAATGCTCACCTAACCTTTGATTTAGCAAATCTTACAGTGGCAAGTCCGTTCAATGGTGAGGAAGGTATCACAGTGGGTAATGGACAAAATCTCAATGTCACACATTTTGGTTCAGGCATGATCACCACTCCTCATAAAACTTTTTGCCTAAACAATGTCCTTTGGGTTCCTTCCATCAAAGCTAATCTATTGTTTGTTCATCAATTTTGCTTAGATAATACTTGCTCTTTCGTTTTAAATGCTAACTCCTTTTCCATCATTGACAGAACATTAGGCCTAATCCTTTACATCGGACCATGTCAAAATTGTCTTTATCCCCTCCCACATTCGATGGTTGCAAGAAAAGGAGTCGTTGCACATCTATGCGCCAAGGTGTCTCATCTTATGTGGCATAATCGTCTTGGGCATCCTAGCAATCAAGTTCTTACTCTTATTTGTAAATCAATTTCTTAATCATATTTGTAAATCTCCTGGTATTCCTTTAGAATCTTCTAGCAGTTCTTATGTCTGTTCTCATTGTTTGCATGGCAAAATGTCAAAATTACCATTTATTTTGTCGCGTCATGTTTCTGTTAAGCCTCTTGAGCTGGTTCATAGTGATCTTTTGGGACCAGCTTCCGCTATTTCTCTTCATGGCTGTATATATTACATCTCTTTTATTGATGATATGTCCCGTTATACATGGATTTTTCCTCTTCTAAATAAATCCTATGCACGTTCTGTTATTACCAAATTTATGCCTTATGTTGCGAATTTACTGGATAATCGTGTTAAAATTTTTCGCAGTGATAGGGGTGGAGAGTTTGTAAACCGCTCCTTTTCTTCATTCTTTGATGCTTGGGGTCTTTCCCACCAAAAATCTTGTCCTTACACCCCTGAGCAAAACGATGTCGCTGAGCGAAAACATCTACACATAGTTCAAACTGCCCTCTCTCTTATCTCAAAATCTTCCGTTCGTTTAAAATTTTGGTATTATGCCTTCTCCACTACAGTTTTTCTAACAAATAGGATGACGTCTTTACAAGTGGATAATGTTCCGTGAATAACCTAAAGGGGTCTATAGTATATGGATAAGGCTGGGTACCTTATCCTGGCAACACTATAGATACGGCCCACTCTGTAAAGGTTACAGATGACTCGATCCAGGTCGTTCGTGTGGAGACATAAGAGTGGGGGTATCCTATACAATGAGTTTGTATAAGACCGGACCACGAAATAGCCAATCTTTAGATGTAACACCGTTAACTAATAGATTGTTGTTTCTTAGGATGACCAGACAACTCATTCTCAATCCTGAGTTAGTTATGGACTCCTGCCCGTGAGGGCTCGTCCTTTGATCTGTATAGGTGAGAGTGGCCCAAGTTGCCGACTCAACATTCCTACCATTTTTTGGACGAGACCGAGTGGGGAGCTGGGAACATAACTTCACAAGATAAAATTCACTCCTCTCCGACTTTAGGGGAGTAGATGAGTGTTCCCTTAAATGCTGACTCCGGGACTTGAACAAGGGGCCCCACCCTCTCATTGGCC